CCCTTGTCAGTCACAGAGCAGGGCGGATTGGGAGGTTGCGATGCCCCCCTCAGTCATGCTCAGGGTAGGGCTGATTGGGGGGTTGGGGCACCGCCCCCTGTCACACTCAAGACAGGGTCGATGGGGAGGTTACAGCACCACCCCCTGTCACGCACAAAGCAGGGCCAATCAGGGGGTTGGGGCGCTGCCCCCTGTCACACTGATCCCGGTGCCAGGAGGCCTCTCGGCTCCGCTGATCCCGGTGCTGGGAGGCATATTACCCTTTTACTATATAGGGTAGAGGCCTGGTGCACAGGTGGGGGCCAGCTGCTCTGCCCTGAAGGGTGTCCTGGATCAGGGTGGGGGTCCCCACTGGGTTGCCTGGCCAGCCTGGGTGAGGGGCTGAGGGCTGTTTTCAGATTGGCAGGTGACTGAAGCTCCTAACCGCTCCTTTTATTCTTTTTTTTTTTATTATTCTGGGCCAACTTTTGCTGGAGGCTTGGCTCCAGCTCTTAGGCCTCCGCTGCTGAAAGTAGGTTTCTGACCTTTGCATACAATGTTGCTATCCTGCTGGCTGAAGTCCAGCGGTATTTGTTACATAGTTTCTTAAACTGCAGGCTCAGTGGCCTGCAGCCGCAGGTGGCGAATGTTGGTTTCCTCCGTCACTGAAGCAAGCAAGCCTCATGTTAGTTTTAAGCTGCCTTTATGCCAGCCGCCATCTTGGCTGTCAGTTAATTTGCATATCTCGCTGATTAGCCAATGGGAAGGGTAGCAATCGTACGCCAATTACCATGTTTCTCTTTTATTAGTGTAGACTAGAGGTCCGATGCACGAAAATCGTGCAATGGTAGGCCTTCACAGCCCCAGCTGCTTCGCAGCCCCACTCCTGGCCACCCGCACCCATCTTGGCTTGGCATTGCCTGCATCCACCACCACACACCCCTGGTTTCTGGGTTCTGTGGAGCCCTTGATCAATCAGCCTGGGCCTCCCTCTTTGGGGCGATCATGGAGACCTCGATTTCTTGCCCCACTGGCTGGTGGCCTGGGCCTCCCTCTGCCAGGGTGATGTGAAGTAATGGTAGGCCCCCAACCAAATACTTCACACCCACCTTGGCTGGCCTGGCACCAATGCATATCATAATGTGGTTGTTCATATGATCATTCTGCTGTTTGGCCCTTTGGTTTATTTGCATATTATACTTTTATTATTATAGATAAATATATTAATATTTTAAATTCTTGAATATTTTCTGTTGATCTTTAGTTGGTTTGCTATTTTTATTTTTTTTCAATTAAATCTTTATTGTTCAGATTATTACATTAGTTACTCTTTTTTCCCACCATAACTCCCCTCCACCTCACTCCCTATCCACTGTCTTCATCCATAGGTGCACAATTATTGTCCAATCTCTTCCCTCACCCTCGCACCCTTCACATCCTTTCCCCCCGAAGAATAGTCAGTCCATTCCCTTTCTATGTCCCTGATTCTATTATAATCACCAGTTTATTCTGTTCATCAGATTATTTATTCACTTGATTTTTAGATTAACTGGTTGATA